CTTCTATCAAGGTAAAAATTTCTCATGTTTTCTTGGACTCTTTTGACCATATAATTTCAGCTTTGGTGTGTATAAATGGAGTCGTGGTGTGGTGCTGTAGGATAAGCATTGGACTGCAAGGTCAGATTGAACCACAAGGTCTGTGGTTCAAACGCATCAGCTGCTCCTCGGAAACGCTTTTCAGGGTCGTGTAACAACAACAACAACAACAACAACATAGCGTAGTGCTTATGAATCGGGCTGTGAACCTCAGGGTCAGCAGTGCGAAACTACCAGCTGTTCCACAGGAGAAAGATGAGGCTTTCTGCTCCCATAAAGATTTACAGTCTCAGAAACCCTGTACAGGGTTGCCATGAGTCGGAATCGACTCCACGACACATAACAACAACATGAGTTGGAACCGACTCGACACACTTACCAACAGCAATGAATAAATGAGGTGGTTTTCATTTCTTCTCCGTAAGTCTTTGGGAGGACAGTTTGGCATCATTTTGGGCCATCGTGTTGCTCTGTTGCTTCTACCTCCCTGTTGTCACCTGCTGAGTAGACATGCAGATAACATATTTCCTCTGTAATGGTTTTTTTTTCCTTAATTGAGATATGCTTTCACACACCCTTTTAAAGTTGACAATTTTCAGTATATTTTCAAGCCTGTGCAATAATCACCACTCCTGGGGTTGCGCTGCAAGGTTAGCACTGGACTTCAAACCACAAGGCCGATGGTTCAAACCCACCAGCTGCTCCTCGGAAACCCTGTACAGCATCACAGTGAGCCGAAACCACCTCAGCGGCACTTCACCACAACAGTGACATCTAATTCCAGAACTTTCCCTCACCTCAGAAAACAACCTCATACCATTAGCAGTCACTCTGTATTTCCCCTGGCCTCTGGGAATCTACTTTCTGTCTCTGGAGTTGCCTAATCTGGACATTTCCTAAAAATGAAATCCTACAACATGTGGTGTTTTGTGACTGACGTGTTTCACTTAGCCTCATGTTCAGTTCTCTTGTGACTGGGTAAGGAGCCCGCCATATGGCCATTCCAGGCTTGGATTATTATCCCTTCAGCAACCGATGGGCACACCTGGCTGTAAACAGCTAGGTTTGAGGGAAATTTTTGCCAAGCAATGGTGCTCTCCCAAGAACACACACATATATATATTTTAAGACGAATTCTTTTCTTGTTAACTTTCTTAAAGAAAAATTTTGCAGGACCTGGATCAAAATTTGAAATCTGGCTTTTATTTAGAGAAGAGAAATATTCTTCTGCTCTTTAAGCCTAATTCTTTCACTGTTTGTTTGAATTCTGAAGCTTTTCTGAACTCTTCCAGGGAAAAAGAGGAGCAGTTAACTCGTGTGACTGAAGTTCAGAGGCTGCAGGCCCAGCAGGCAGATGCTGCCCTAGAAGAGTTTAAGCGGCAGGTGGAACTCAACTCAGAGAAAGTCTACGCCGAAATGAAAGAGCAGGTAAGTCTTCAACACCACCCTTTTTAAAAGCGACTTTCTTAGTACATCCTAATCTTGCCATAATAGAAACCTCTTACTCTTTTAAAAAAAGCTTTCTCCAAATTTTGGTGTTGTTAAGCACTGTTGAGATGGTTCCGACTCATCGTGACCTTTGTAGCTTTTCCAAAGAACAGCTTGCTCATCTTTCAACAGTGACAGACTGATTATTTTGAAGTGCTATCTACAAATTCATGGAGTCCTGGTGTGGCACCAGAGAATAAGCACTTGACCTCAAGGTCAGTTTGAACTGCAGTTCAAACTCACCAGCTGCTCCACCCTATACAGGGTTGCTATTACTCAGAACCTACTCCACGATACTTAACAACAACATCTACAAACATAGTAATGACAGGAATGTAGCTGGCCTTGGGAAGAGGGATCTGCTTGGAAGGAAAATCCCATGTGTTGTAAGTTTCCACAGTTTAAGGTCCCACATTCACCAAGTCTGTGTGTGTTAATGTCCTGTGAGGAGTGCTCTATTTGTCAGTTACTGCACATTATTCCCAACTAGCCATTCAAGAGCATAGAGACTGCCTCTAACTCTATAGGATAAGTGATGTTTTCTTTTTGAGGGGAAAAAAAATTGTAAAAGAAGATTACAAACACCTAATGAGCCAGACTGCAAAGCTGCTTGATCTGCAAGGTCGGCGGTTCAAGCTCACCAGCTGCTCGTTGGAAACCCTATACAGTGTTGCTATGGGTCAGAGTTGACTCAACAGCACTTAACAACAACAACAACCCATCATAAAGACTCAGCAGTTGACGATACTGTTTATTTAAGCTAAAACATGGCAGGTGCCGTTGATGTTTGCTTTACTATTCATGTCTAATCCCCAAACTCTTCTCTCCACTCTGAGAAAATCACTCTGGTTTATATAGTGTGTTTGTTTCTCAGTCTATCTTTTACTTCTATATGGATTTCTATGTTCATATCTGGTCCAGAGACGCCATGGAGCTGTAGAGCAGCCATGTAATTGAGCATACAGCACGTGCGTTATTTAGGGAATCGTAATATTTTTCGATTTTTCCAGATTCTATATTTGTGACAGTCTTCCTTTTCTGCTGTTGTTGAAGCTGCTTTTTCTCTCCTCACAGAAACCTTTTGTGTAAAAGCAGCCACGCTGTAGGGCATCTTTTTCCATTTGGAAACTGCTGCAGGTAGCAGACAATGGGATTTTGAATTTAAAAAAAAAAAAGAAAGAAAAGAAAAGCTTTGAGTTTGTTTTTGAAAGTGAACTGCTGTTTCGAAAATGAGACCCAGGAGGGAAAATGGAACAGACTGAAACTGTTTTTAAGACATTGCTTCACAAGACTTGTTTCACTTTGAAATTCTTCCTAAAATCCCATTGCTTACATAGTAGCCACTGAGTAAATAATAGTACACCAGTCTAATTATTACTCCAATGGATACTCCGTTATGAGTATTAGCTGCCTGTGATTCATTATGTCGGAGACATACAGTTTAATGAAAATTCTTTTCTCATTAAAGAATTACATGATTATGCATATGCTTTTATTGGTAAAAGAAAGTGTCTCCTATACTTGGCTGTTCTCTGCAAAGCAAATAAATGACTGAAAAAGACAGTTAGGAGCTTTGAAGTAGTGGCAGTAATTCTGAAATGAAACTTTTTTATCTTGTAAACTGACTGTATAGATGTCAGTTAACTAGTCTTTCTGGTACTTCCACTAGTACTTGACTTTTCTAGTTTCTTGTTCGCATCTTGAAAATCCATCCTACTACTGCTGCTGCTGCCAGGTTCTGTAGAGTCGCTTCCGACTCATAGTGACCCTGGATAGGCTTTCTAAGGCTGTACAGCTTTACGGGAGCAGAAAGCCTCATCTCGCTCCCGTGGAACTGCTGACCTTGCACTTAGCATCCCAATATGTAACCCACTATCATTAAATGATGGTGTTGTTGTTATGAAGTGCCGTAGAGTCAGTCCTGACCCAGAGCGACCCTGTATAGGGTTTCTGAGGAGCTTCTGGTGAGCTTGAACAACCAACCTTGCAGTTCAAACGGCTTTGCAGTCTGGCTCATTAATCCACAACGCCATTCCAAATAGTGTCCTCTGGTTTGGATGCTGTTCTTTTTTGTTTACAATTGTTTACTGTGTGGCAAAACTTTATTGTTATGTTGTTAAGTGCTGTCAAGTCGGTTCTGACTCCTAGCAACCTAGAATAGAGTTTCCAAGGAGCAGCTGGTGAGTTTGAACCACCCGCCTTGTGGTTCTAACCAACCCTGTGGTCTTGCGCTTAGCATACCAGAACTTTAGTAGCAGACCTGGAAAATTTGCTGGTTTGCCATGGAAACCAAATTCTGAAATCCACTGCTCTTGGCAAGTTGGGTTTATTTTGACTTTTTGTGTGATTGAATCTGCTTACTCAGTTTGTTTGTACTTCAGGTGATTGTAAATTTAATCCATCATCCTATTATTGTTGAATTAATGAAAAAAATAATAAAGTTACAAGGAACGAAGAATGTTATCTGGATGCATAACAGAGAGACATTAAGAACCGCTGATTGTGACTTACACCTTTGTCTTTCAGGCTCATTTAAGGGTCTTTACAAGGAGCACTGGTAGCGTAGTGGTTACGAATCAGGCTGCGAGCCGCAAGGTCAGCAGTTCGAAACTACCAGCTGTTCCGTAGGAGAAAGATGAGGCTTTCTGCTCCCATAAAGATTTACAGCCTTGGAAACCCTATACAGGGTCGCTATGAGTCGGAACCAACTCCATGGCACATAACAACAACAACAAAACTAGTTGAATTGTGAGGTTTGGGAGTGTTTGAGTGGGGAAAGGGTCTCATCTGATCTGGGGATCGAAGGATCTAAGCTAATCTGAAGGCTAGGAAGTCTTATCTACGGGAAGGGGGAGATGGAATGTATTAATGTGGGATAGAAAATATTGTCTGATACTGGGTCAAAAGGTGAGCTCCTCTGGTTGGAAGGCACTAAGAGTACAGCTGGCAAAGAGCTTCCTGCACAATGTCTATTGTTGCCATGTTTAGTGCCACTGAATCAGTTCTGACTCGTGGTGACTCTGTATAGGGTTGCCAAGCCTGTCAATATTTACAAAGATGAGGGAACAGAAAGCCTCATCTTTCTCCTGCAGAGAGGTTGGTGGTTTGAACTGCTGTCTTTGTAGTTTGCAGTCCAGTGCTTATCCTACAGTGCCACCAGCACTCCCTCCATAGTTGACCTTGATGATGTGTGAACAGAGAAAAAAACTTCTGGAACCTTCATTTGTCGGTGTGACCTGAATCAGAATGAGAACACTCAGCTGCAAGCATTCATTAGTAATTAGAAGATGGAATGTGCAAAATGTAAATCAAGGGAAATTAGACATTGTCAAAAAGGAAACGGGGCCCTGTATCCTAGGCAGAATGGATCTCTATTCTAGGCATCAATGAGCTGACATGCTCTGGTACTAGCAATTTTGAATCAGATCTACCGTGGTCTGCTATGCTAGTAATGACAAATTGAAGAGGGACCGCATCACATTCATTGTCAAAAAGAGCAGTTCAGGGTCTGTCCTGAAGTACAGTACTGTCAGTGATAGGATAGTAGTCAAATGCCTACAAGGAAGACCAAGGGTCCTGATGTGGTGCTATAAGGTAAGCACTGGACTGCTAATCACAAGGTTGGTGGTTTAAACCTACCAGCTGCTCCTCGGAAACCTTATAGTGGGTCACTCACTGTAAGTCAGACCTGACTTGTGTGTGCTTAACAACAAGGAAAGCCCATTAAGGCCCGTCTTCAAATTTATCCAACAGCCATGAGTACTAGAGATGAAGAAACTGATGAGTTTTATCAGATTCTGCAGTCTGAAGTTGATCAAACATGGAATCAAGGTGCATTGACAATTACTGGTGACTGGAATGTGAAAATTGGAAGTAAAGACGAATCCTGGTGTGTCTCTGTAGGATAATGCACTGGATTGCAAGGTCGGTTTGAACCGCAAAGGCAGTGGGTTCAAACTCACTAGCTGCTTCACAGAAACCCTATACAACAGGGTCGCTATGAGTCTTAACCGACTTGATGGCACATAACAATAACAACAAATATAAATCTGTCTATAAAACAAAATTCTCACAACTGAGTCAATAAGCAACATCATGATAAATGGAGAAAAGAAATCAAATGAAACATTGCATTAGGCAATTCTGCAAAATATCTTAAAGTATTTAAAAACAAAGATGTTACTTTGAAAACTAAGGTGGGTTTGATCTAGGTCTTGGTATTTTCAATCTCCTCATATACATGAGAAAGCTGGACAGTGATGAAGGAAGATGGGGAGAAGAATGATGCCTTTGATTTGTGGTATTGAAAAAGGATATCAAATATACTATGGACTGCCGGAAGAAACCAATCTGTGTTGGAAGAAGTACAGCCAGAGTGCTCTTTAAAAGCTAGGATGGTGAGACTTCATCTCATGCTTCGGGCATGTTATCAGGAGGAGGGACCAGTCCCTGGAGAAGGACACCAGGCTTGGTACAGTAGAGGGTGAGTGAGAAAGAAGATGCTCCGTGAGATGGATTGATACAGTGGCTACAACAATGGGCTCAAATTTAGGAACAATGGTGAGGGTTGCGCCAACAAGACTGAGCGGTGTTTCAGTCTACTGTCCCCGAGTCAGAACTGATGTTCCCTGACAGTGACAACACAAACACACACACAGAAGAACTTCAAAAAGCCTGTTACCTTTCCATTTCCATGACTGTTTTGCAGCCCCCTGGGAGACAGAAATAAATACGCATCACTTAGTGGTCCTTTGTGCAATGTCCTTGGTGCCATAAGGTTTGTTTTGTTTAAAAGGAAAGCAACTCTCCTATTGTTTGTCATTCCCCTTTAATGCTGTTAAAGACCCCAAACCCAGACTCTTGGGCAGCATGGGTGGGATAAGGCTCTCCGAGTTTTTCCGAAGGCAGGAATGGGCCAGTGGTTATTGAGCTGACCTGTG